AGCCAGAGTCGTACAAGTCACTCCAAGCATATTGTGAGATACAAAACTAGCAGTAGCATCTAAACTTAAAGTTTAGATGCTACTGAAAAATCCTAAGACGTGTTGTGATATTTTTTTTATTCAATATAGTTTACAAACATGTTAACTTAATTACGGATTAAACTAATATTCTATTATCAAAAAATCATAAAATTATGTAAGTTCTTCCTCTCCCAAGAGTCCAATATCTTCAATGCACGGGTCTTCCAAAATATTCTTAAAATACTCCTGTTGATAGGGTGGTATGAACTGAAGTAGATCGACCATATCCTTTTTTTTATTGGCGCTAATTTTAAGTGAAGCAGAGTATAGTGGTGTAAGTTTCATATTTTTAATTAGTTTAGGGGCACCTTTTTTATTGTTTTGTGGAAAAATGTTAATTGTTTCAGAACTGAAGTCTTCATTCAAAGTGGTCTTATAAAATATTTTGTACGGTTGATCTTTCTCAAAATGCAGCCACTGGATGTTAAACCAAGATACTGTACAATCATTTTCATTTTTCTTGCGACGTGTTACGGAGCTTTCCACTGTTGCTATGGAGAGAATGTCTTCCTTTTTCATTTCGTACTTACTCTCGACTCATTTCGTCTTTAGATGGACTATGGAAGTGTAGATTAAAATCACGATGAAATACATTTCAGTACATTGCTTCTGATACTGGACTTATATTCTCTGTTGAGCATTTTTCTTTATAAAGATTGTACATAATTCTTATGTTCAGACTGGTATCGAGGTATTTTCTATTCGGATTATGACTTCGGATGTAATGGTACTGGTACATGGGGAAACTGCCAATGTGTTCACGTACATATTCTACACGTTCTTCAGGAGTTTTATTTATTGATTTATTCCTACCTTGCAAATCTTCTCCAGGCGATGAAACACGTGAACGTTGAACTGCTCTTTCAAGTCTACCATTCGAAATTTGAAACGTTTGCAAAAAGTACTATTTACAAACATTTTGTGAAATATTCAAAGTATTAACAAAATACATATTTGTGTTACTTCTAATATTAGTTCTACTTTGATCACGAGGACGTCGACGTTTAACTAAACCACTTTGTTTAACTTGTTTAACTTTGTTTAACTAAACCAGAAAGAAATGCATTTTGTGCAGAAAAATCGCCCATTTTCCAAAAGTTTTCAAATACTGTTTTTCTCTCTTGCTCATCAATTCGGTTAAAATATTTTTTTCTACAATTACAATTAGTATTAGAAAATGCTTTTTGTGGTACCTTTTTACCAGATGTACTGTAATATTCACATCCTGTATTCCTATTTCTCTTACGTATTACCTTGATATGTTTTTCGGGTTCTCTAAAGCGCTTTTTTCCAATTCGTTTCCTTTGATGCCACTGTCATGCTTACTTTGAGAACCTGATGCCTCATTAGATAAAACATTTTCATTCTCATCTAGAATAATTTAGAGGTTATTTATTTTGTTAAATGTAAACAATAACTATTTGTAGTAACCTGAAGATAATGATGATTTCGAATTATCCAATCTGTCCGGTTCATATTCACTGTAACTACCAGGAAAAGGTTCTATTTCAGATTCACTAGAACTCATGTTTCAGATCTTAAAATAAACTAATTTCAAACGTGCTACTAAAGTCTGTTAAATGCCACAGTGGTATAAGTCACGCGCCTACGGACAGGTACCACTCTGCCTTTCAATGATATTAGCATTTCGTTAACTAGGTAAACTAGTTGTGCCATCTCTGGGTAAATTGGCAAACATAATTATTTCATATTTTGTGTGAATAAAGATTCCTGTAAAATTAATCTTTTGCCGATATTTGGGCAAAAATGGAATTTTGTGACTTGTACCACTCTGGCTTTCACCGGCTCAATTATTATATTCTAAAGTCAACAATTGTGAATACCTAGGACAGTGAAGTAGCACATTAGGTTAAATAATGAATGCTAATTCCTTGAACTAGGTGCATTGGTCTTATAAGAAATAAAAAAATCTTGATAAACGAACTGAAATTCGAATACCGATTCAGATCAACCGACAGAGCCCGGAGAGTACATAAAGCTATAAATAATAAAATATGTAATGCAGGGGAGATCCTTGTTCTTTGAAACGTTCGGACTTTTACAGCATAGTAGCGGTTCAGATACATTAACTAGTTATATAACGTTCCTATGCGCGCACAGAGGGCAGAAAACGTAATATGAAGCAGATCTGTCTAAAAACTCGACAGTTAAATTTGTTTGTTTGTGGCGTGACCATTGTTGTATTTTCGTATCCCCTGCCATCGAATAAAATAACGGTAAATATATTAATATTCTTATATTTTGTCTATGTTTACACAAATATAGAAGTTTTAAGCAATACATTTTCTTAGTTTTTGCAGAGAATTATGTTTATTTTGCGTAATAAAAAGCGAATATTTTAAACATGTGATTATCGTGTACTTTGAAACATCGTCTGAATTGTACTTTGGAACATGTTCCAAAGAACACGGACGTGGTCCAAAGTAGTATGGACTGTAGTTATAAAAACTTAAACGCTTATTTTTTTTACTTACTGATGCCGAAAAGCAAAACAGACGTTAAAAGACTAAAACCTGTTGCCGAAAATGTCGAAAATACTGCTAATGCTGTATTGCAAAAACAGCTCAGTCTAAGACAAGCCAACGCACACTTTAAAGTATCTAAAGCAACCTTATGCAGACACTTCAAGAAACACAGAGAATCTGGACAAGAACATTTTGTATATAGTGCATCACAAGACGTTAAGTTAATTTTTACGAAACAGCAAGAGGAAGAGCTACTAAAGTATGTTACCATTTGTGCCAAGATGCATTACGGCCTCTCAACTATCGAATTAAGAAAGATAGCATATAATTACGCACGTGTAAATAATATTGATTGTTCCTCTTCCTTGGATACAAATCAAAAAGCAGGAAAGGTGTACAGTGTAAAGTGGTACAGGTAAAAAAAGTTTTGCATTTTTTAGGTCATCAGGGTAAATAATTTATTTACATGTTCTATCTGCGAAGACATCCGTCTGTATCATTACGTAAGCCACAAGCAACAAGTCTAGCCTGATCGACAGCATTTTTAATAAAACAAATGTTAATTTATTTTTGATAAACTGGAGGAAATTATGGTAAGATACACATTTAGTCCGGATAGAATTTTTAATTTTTTATGAAACCGCGGTGCATACCCCGGTTCGTGTTATTGCAACGAAAAGAGTTAAACAAGTCGGCAGCATCACATCGCCTGAAAGAGGTGTAAATGTGACTCTAATTTATTGTATCAATGCTACTGGTAATTGTGTACCTCCTTTATTCGTATTTCCGCGTGTGTTTTTTAAGTAACACATGCTAAAAGGGTCTCCAATAGATAGTGTTGAGAGCGCAATTCCTAGTGGATGGTCTAACTCTATTATTTTTGTTGAGTATTTAAACCACTATATAAAACATACAAATTCAAGTACTGACAACAAATCACTACTGATTGTTGACGATCATGAGAGCCACATTCCAGTGAAAGCTTTAAATTTAGCAAAATCATCGGGAGTCTTCATGCTTACGTTTCCACCCCACACCAACCACAAGCTACAACCGTTAAATAGGTCGGTTTTCGGACCTCTAAAGAAATATTATATTACAGCTTGTTCCGACTGGCTAATTGCAAATCCTGCAAAAACGATGACAATCAATGATATTGCTGAGTGTGTTGGGAATGCATATCTATAGATATTTACACAGAAAAATATCCAATCTGGTTTTACCGTTTCTGGAATTTTTCCATTCAACAGAAACATTTTCGAGGAGCTCGAATTTCTCAGTTCATATGATACATATAGACCACCAGTTGCCGAAGAGTCAAGAAATACTCAAAATACTTTCGAAACTAATAGTTCCTCGAATATTTCTGTAGAGTGTCTAGGAATGCCTTCAGGAACAACTAGTATATTTAATGATCCTAGTTCTTCCTTAGTATCCAATGAATTAAATCAACATAAAAGCCCCGAACAAATTTGCCCGTTTCCCAAGGCAGCTGCGAGGAAATTTACGAAGAAAGGAGGTAAGAAACTAGGGCGCTGTAGAATAGTTATAGATACCCCAGAGAAGAACGAGATTGAAATGATGGCGCTTCTTAAAACCACGAAGAATTTTGTTTCAAAAAAACAAAAAGTAGCCAAAAAGGTTCTTGCTAGTAGTAGACGATAGATGACGTAGATTTTGCCAATGCAGAAGAGGAAGATAAAGATTTTCTTGAGTCTGACAACAAGACCTGCGTGAGATTTTATTTTAGCATAAATTGCAACAAAAAAAGACAAAACGATATTTTGTTGCTAATGTCGTTGGAGTGAATGATGATGGGTTTAAAGTTAGATACCTAAAAAATAAGTAACTTTGCCGCCAAATTTCTTTTCGAAAATGACACTGTGTATGACTTGCCTGACGAAGATAGCTCTTAAACTAGGAGCCCCTTCAGTAGTGGGGGCACTACCAGAAGAAATGCTGAGATGACATTTTCTATCGATTTATCTGCATTTAACGTCCAATAAATAAGCGTTTCAAAGTACACATACTTATTTTCCAAAGTACCAACCTCAGTGTATACTTGAAGACCTTTAGGATATAGTGAATTTTTCTATATTTATAAGCATATTTGCCATTAGAATTAATATTTTATTTGTCTACTCTATTTAAAAAAAAATCTCAGTTCGAAATAAAATTTAAAAACTATTGAAACCTTCTTTTATTTAAAAACCGTTCCAAAGTACAAGGATCTCCCCTATAATGTACATATTCAAGAAGATAATGAAGATGTAGAACGAAGTAGAAAACAAATATTATTCTTTAACACTACGATATATCTATAGATGAAAAAACTAAACACTTCAAAAACAAAGAATAGTGTCGCAGATGAGTACAAGAGAGAATTAAAAAAATAATATTTTTAAAATAAGGATATTACCAAAGCAAGATTTGTTAATCAAGCTCAATTACATGTCTAGCTTTCATTAGTCTTTCTTTACATTTTTTAGTATGTTCCTTAGCTTGTGCCAAATCACTTGTTTCATACTGACATAACATACAAAATATTACATTGTTACTCTTAAATAATTTTACGGAGATTTGTTTCCTCTTACATACTTTTTGATGTTTTCTCGCCTCCCACGTCTTTAAGAACACTGAAGAACAATTAACACACCAAACTCCTATTTTATACCCATGTTGAAGTTCTTTAACATGCTCAATCATATTAAGTTTATCTGAAAACTGTGCCAGACATACATTGCACGCATATTTGCCATTGGCTATTTGGCAAAAATGATCGAGGATGTGCAAGTCTATTACTTTCAAATATCTAGTATTGAAATCGCATGAATTACATTTATAGACCGTAAGAATCTTTTGATCAACTAAATGATCATCTAAGACAACCCATCTTTTAGTTGTAGCAACAGCCCTTGATCCTGCTGGCTTTCTAATCAATTGTAACTCGGACGATTCGGATGTTTTTTGGATTTGGATGTTCGTCACAGTATGATCTTCACCAACAACTTTATCCTTTTCGATTGATGTTTCCGGCATAGACAATTTACCTAAGTCACCAGAACAATTGTTAGAATTACTCTTTGAGCCTTGGTTAATTTCTGTCATAGGATGACAGACTGCAGTTACTATTTTATCAGGAACTACATTATTTTGTGAATAGAGGTCTTTATTTAAATTGTTTGTATTTTTTGTTGATTCAGAAATAATTGAACTATCCTCTAAAACACTTTCCAACTCTTTTATTACTGAATTAATTTCAGTATCTGTAGTTATTTTACTGTTTTCAGCATCATGAGTTTTACCTTCAGCAGGTGCAACCTTTGGAATTTCAGTATCATTATTTTCTCCATTTTTAAGCGAATCATCCTTTCCTACAGACATCAGCCCAATTGCGTTATTTATGGTTTGACCTGGGTTCAACAGTAAATTCGAAACGATATTAATGTTTGAATCTGGCAGTGGTTCAGCTTCGTTCCCACTACCCGTTTGCACATTAACAGATCTAAACTCATTCTCAATATCCGTTTCTGGTGGTAAGAAGTAATGGTGATCTTTTAATATTGTAGCCCTTACATTTTCAATATCAACAGCTAATGGATCGACATCTAATTGTGTAGTAAGTTCCTCATTGACATTATCGTTTTCATTGATTATTACTAAATTATTAGACCCTTCGTTTAATGTATCAACTGGTTCAATTGACTTTTCATCATCCGAAACTATTATAACGTTCGAAGATTCTTGTGATTGCTGCTTCTCTGCGGTTTTATTCGATCGGAAATCTATCACATTAGTTTTGTTGACAGAGGGAGAATATGAACTACTAGTTTCTCCAACTATTATATGGCTTTTTTGAATGAGATATAAAAGAGTTTGACCCAAAAACATTGAATATGTAGCATTTTGTTGAGATGTGACTCCACTGGTTGGTGCTGCAACTATTGTACTGTTTAATGATGTATTTGATGTTGACTTCTTGTTTTTCGGATGTTCCTGTATTTTTACTGACTGAAATTTTTTACACTTGTTCAAATGTTCATCCATACGCATTGTACTTGTCGCCCTATATCGACAATATCCACAATATAAGTATTTATTCGACATCTTGAACCTAAAAATAAAGCAAAATTGATGTGAAATAAAAGGCTTTCAAATATTTAAACCTACTATAAAAACTTTTACTCTTAATAATAAACTACTGGCTGCTCTAATAGAGGTTCATTGGGACAAATATGGGTATGGATTTATATACATGGGAAGGGTCCCAGTGGTTGGCTGTATACCATATTTTTAAAAACCTTACAGTGAGGTAAAAAACTGGTGTAAAATAGTATCCTTTTAAAAAATTTTACAAAAATGAAAAATCCAGACGGATTACAATTTTCAGAAATTTTTCTGTAACATATTTAGCAAATTGCAAATAGCTGTTTAAAAATGTGTAATACGCTTTTTAATAATAATGTAATACTAATAGGGTTACATTTATTGTGCGCTTCTATTACAAAGTGATAAACCCCTATTAAGAAACAATCGGCTCTCGTCAACATCGTATGCCGGATTTTGCAAGGGAATAACCAGAAATTCAAATATCTGAACAAAGAGTTACATATTAATACCGGGTAATTTTAAGAAAAAAAGTAGTATAGTATACAGTACAGTGCATACTGAACTACACAGTTCACTAGTATAAAATCAGTAACCTCAGGAAAATTTGTTACTTATACAACACTACAGTTTCTTTTTATAAGAGAATTTTGATAAAATAAAATTTTAATATCAAACAAAATTTGGAGACAAAAAGGAAGATTCCTAGTTTCGTAATTGTCATATAAAAATAAAGATAGAAGAATAAATAAATAACTTTACAATATTAAACATTTATTACAGTTTGATAAAATAAATGACTTTTATATTTTAGAATTCAAATTCCTGTGTTATTATTTTATTCATTTTTTCCTATCCTCATTAGGAAGCCACTGAGAAATATTTTGAAGCCACGAAAGAACGTAAGTATTTATAGTGTGATTTAGCCCTGAGATATACAATTTATTTATGTTTGATTAATTAGATAATTACTTGATTAATTAATTAAAGTAGATTACATCCACAATCATTAATAGAGTTTAAGAGTTTAAAATAGAGCACAACAATATATATATATATATATATATATATATATATATATATATATATATATACATCCCGCCATCATTTTAAACTCGTTTCACGTTGCAGTAATTTAGCATCACCAAGAAAATCTATTATTTTATATATATAAGTCGTGTATGTTCGTTTAGTGCACCTCTGTTGGCTTAGCAGCGTTGTCGGTTTTTCAATATTCTGATTTTTTTATATATTTAATTTTTTACATCAATCCTACGTTTTAACATCGATCATTTAAAATCACTGTATTTGCTATCATTTTAAAGCCAATAGATGTTGCCGGTATTAATACTTAAAATAATATCTAGGTACATAACTATCGATCCGTTTTCGGTCAACCTGCCAACGACCTGCTAACAAGTTGCGGTCTTAACTGGTTTTTTCTTTGTCTAAATGTTAGGTATATTTATTTAAGGTAGATATTTTTCTCAGAGAATTGTGTAGGGGAATATTTTACATAAATTTCAATTTACAACCTGTTTAATCCAAGCTATCGGTGAATAGTTTGAGGTAAATAATATGTTTTTTATAGGATTACGCCTCAATTATTGGTTGTAATTGTGATAAGAATCACATTTTTAATTAACTTGTGTTTGAAATTTTGATTTCCATTCCGGAGATCGTTCTCAAAAACGTTTTTTTGTACAAAATGTGTATACACATTTTAGATAATTTGTACAATAAACAATAAATATTAGTTAATTAAAAGTGTAATTAATATTACATTTTTATATACATAATATACATAAAAAAATAATATTTAACTTAACCATGCAACAAGAAAGTATTTCACAGAACCTCGTTAAATAGTTTTCAAAAATCTTCTACGGTTATTTAAATTGTAAATAGTATGAGAGATAGCTGATGAAAATTAGTAAAGATGTACAGTTGATTATGCTTTGTTCTTTTTTTTTAAACAGTCTTAAAAGATACAAAAAAAAAATGTTTTGTATCTTTAAAACGTGCTTGTAAAACGTTTTTTTTACATTCTAAAGAAAAATGATTCAAATAAAAGTTGTAGACCATAAAAGGTTTTTTATGTTGAGGGATACCAAATTAAAATATATAATTAATTGAGTGAGGTAATTGCAAAAAACCTTAAACTCTAAAATATTATGTTTTTAGTAATTTATAAATGGTAATAATTGAATTTTTTGCCCAACGGCAGATAATATAGCTACCTCAAATTATGGCAATTAATGGGTTTTTAAGGTGTGCTAAATATTAAGCAAATCACTTTGAACTTGTCCAATACTTGTATGTACAAGTATTTTGTACTTTGCAATCTTAATGGCTTATAAGAAAACAAAGAGACAAAAACAGAACCATATTTAACCAATAAGAACTAAGATAACATTTAATTCTTAAAATCATATTTTCATTGTTTATTAATACAAGATCCAAAAATTTAAAGGATTTTGAATTAAGATTTATAATATATGATCGAAGGTATAGATGGCTTACACAGTAAAGGAGTAAAATGTTATAATCCATTAAAATAATGGTATTCGTAAATTACCGCCCCGGAAAAGTACCACGGAGGTAAGAACTGTCTGAGCTTGTTTTTTTTTAGATTCGGACTTTAAATTGAAGCACGCTTGCAAAATATTTAATATCTCGGCTTCTGTGGCACGTAGAACCTTCATTTCTTTACTAGGGTAGCTCAACAAAATAATAAGAATTGTGCTATTTTGACCTATCTTACTAAATTTTTCCGTTGAAAGTATGAACTCTTATAAAAGCGAGTTCGATTTACAGAATACACGTGTGTATACAGAGTACAGAGTGACTATCTGGGCAAGCACAGTCGTTTAGATAATCGCTCTTTGGGATAAACAAATTGGATAACTTTGTGATCTATGTGAAATATACCACACTTTAATATTGTATTCTTCTTCTCTTCTTCAGTCTTCATTTATCCAATGTTGGACATAGGCCTCCTCCAATTGCTTCCACGCTTCCCTATCTTTTGCAATTCTCATCCACTGCTTTCCAGCTACAGCAGTTATATCGTCTATCCATCTCTTTTTAGGTCTTCCCACGCTTCTTTTTGTTTCTCGAGGTCTCCAGAATGTCACTTTATGAGACCATCTGTTGGTGCCTTGTCTTGCTACATGTGCTACCCATTGCCATCTCAATGTCGCTATTTTTTCCATAATGTCGGTTACTTTAGTTTTTTGACGTATTTCGGTGTTAGGAATTTTGTCTCTGAGGCTTATATTTAACATGGCCCTCTTCATGGCCCGTTGAGTTACTCTTAATTGTTCTGCCATTTTTCTTGTTATTGCCATAGTTTCCAATCCATAAGTTGCAACTGGTAGTATACAAGTATCATAGGTTTTTCGTTTTAAGTGAATTGTGATTTTTCTGTCTTTTAAAATGAAGCTCAAATTACCAAAATCAGCCCATGATATTTGTGTCCTTCTTTTAATTTCTAGGGTTTGATTTTCCTTTTCGTTTTTAATTGCATGTCCTAGATATATATATTGTTCTACCTTTTCTATATTGATGTTATCTATCGTGATGTTTTCTAGGCTGTTGCTTAATATCTTTGTTTTGTCGAGATTCATTTTTAATCCTATTTGATTCGATTTGTGATTTAAATCTTGTAGCATTGATTTTAGTTCATGGATATCTGTGCTTATTAGTACTATGTCGTCTTCTCCATCTATTTTTAATCCATTTTCGGCCCAATTTAGTTGTTTGAAAACATTTTCTAATGCCAAAGTAAATAACTTGGGTGAGATGGTGGCGCCCTGTCTCACACCTTTGCCAAGGTCTATTTTCATAGTTTCCAGAACATCATCTATTTTTACGTGAAAAGTAGCATCATCGTATATATTCTTAAGGAGGGTAGCATATCTTAAATCTACTCTGGCGTCGTCCAATGCTGTTAAGAAAGCCCAATTCTCGATACTGTCGAATGCTTTGTGATAATCGACAAATGCCAGATGTAGTGGTATGTTGTACTCTATTGTTTTTTCAATAATGGTCCGAATTGTTTGCAAGTGATCGATAGTGCTAAAACCCTTACGAAAGCCTGCTTGCTCCACTGGTTGGTATGCATCTAGTTTAGCTGTCAATCTATTTGTTATTATTCGGGTTAGTAGTTTGTAAAGGTGTAACAATAAGCTTATTGGTCGGTAGTTTTCTATATTTGCGGCGTCCCCTTTTTTATGGAGTAGAATGACTTGCGCATTTTTCCATGTCTTCGGTATTTGTCCTTCCAATAGGCATTTATTAAGTAATGCTCTTATTGCCTCTTCTAATGCAGTGCCTCCCATGTTTAGCATCATTGAAGTAATTTTATCTTCTCCTGGTGTTTTCCCATTTTTCATTTGTTTTAGGGCGGCTCTAATTTCTGATGTTATTATTTCAGGGAAGTCCTCTGAGCCCACATTTAAGATATGTTTTTTTGGTATACCGGGGTTCGGAATAGTAGAAGTATACAGCTTCTCATAAAATTTTCGGATTTCTCTAACGATCTCTTCCTTATGCGAGCACAATGTTCCACGGTCGTCTTTTATCTTTATGATTTTATTCCTGCCAGTGAATTTACATGTTTTTAGTACTTTCATGTTCTTATTGTTTTCTATGGTTTCAAGAATCTGGTTTGTTCTATAAACTCTGAGGTCTTTTCGAATATTTTTCTTAACGCTTCTGTTGAGCGCTTTATAGTCCGGGTTATCTCTGTTCGTTCTTCTTTTTTTCTCTATCTGTTCTAGAGTTTCGGCTTTTAGTTTAGCTTCCTTTTGTTTTCTTATTCTGCAACAAAGTTTTTTAGTGACTGTTTGTATGTCTTTAGTTATTTTCTCAGCTAGTTCATCTATATTCTTGTGCTCAAAGGTATTTGCTACTAGTTTTCGTGCTAATTCCTCGTGGTATTTCTCTTTATTACTGGCTAGGATGTCTGCCGTCGGTAAAGGGTTTGTTGTTAATAGTTTTCGT